TGTTTCAGTGGATCTCAGTCTGACCTCCATATCTGCTGAACAAACTTGCTTTAATGAATTATCCATTTACTGAGCTGAATTAAGTTACTTAGCTAGAAATCTATCTTAAGCTGCACAATGAGGAAAATATCAATAATACTTTCCTGATATCAAAGTTTGTACATTCTTGAGATAAAGGTATGAAAATATTTCACTCCGTCTTTCAAAGGAGTTTGACATGATGATGTGTGGAGAAGGGAAGGGATCAGTGTAGCCCAGAGACCCCTAATGATGAGTGCCATATATGGAAGCAGACGCAAGTCACCGAGGCCAAACTCTGGAGACCCCTCCCTGGAGATGGGGCATGCCTCACACAAACCGAACGAAAATTCAAATATTAGTTCCGAAACCAAATTAATGAAGGAATAAAATAATGGAAATTCTATTACCATCGAGTGAACAACTCTGGAGACTTTTAAAAACATAGAATAGAAAGGAGAACAAATAGTCACAACGGAGGTAGTTGCAGCAGCAGACCAAAGGCACCAATAGGGGTTAAGATAGATTTACCAATCCAAGAGGTTCACATTCAATCCTCACTGTTTGTGAGCGACAAAGTCTGATGATCTCCGCCTTTAGTCTCACAAAGACATAGAACTGAGCGAAATTTGATAGGCTCTGCATTTTTGTGTTCCTAAAACTTCATGACATTTCACTGAATTTTGCGCAGTCTACCAAACCAAGGAAAGCAAGCTCAACAAAATGATCGAACCTAGCCTTCATTCGATCATTGACGTTGTCCAGAATGAAACAGATAACTTGTCTCCTTTCATCCTTGAAAGACGATCTGACCCCATCCATGCACTTTGTGACTGCATCAGCACCAGGTTGATCTTGTGTGTGCAGCAGTGTGTAAAAATGGCCTCGGTCACCTTCTGTTTAATTTTAGCCTGCACCCCATTATGCTCTGATGCCATCACGGTATGTAGATTGTCTGATCTACAAGCTGGTCAACATAGTTTTATTTCTCTAACATTCCCAAAACATACTCTGCAATAGTAGAAGCCTGTCAGTCCATGCTCGTGGCACCGAAGTCCAAAAATGCCTCCTTCACCTTGCAGCCTACTTCAGATTAGTCAGTAAATGAAAAATGAGTTCCCAAAGCATTACGTGAATACAACTAATTTATTGCTTGGAAATTTCATTTAGGCAACTGGATGTGAAGTTTTCTAGAAGAAATTTCGCCTCTCATCCAAGAGGCTTCATCAGTTCTAACTGCTGGTGGGGAGCACTGAGATAAATATACTGTAGGTGGAACTAAATGATTAGGGGAGAAAAACAAAAAACGAAAGGTGGCTTTGATCCCTCTTACTGGATGGGCCATAGGTCACCTGGGAGTGTTGATGGTTGTTGGGGAGTTCGGATGGGTCGCTAACTCCCTCGTCAGAGTGGTTTCGGTCACTTGCCTCTTTGAAGGGTGAGTCAGGTGGGGGAAGGTGAGAGGTGAATCTTCTGGATATTGTTCCTAAAAGTGCTCTTTAAGTAGGTGACATGTTGTGTCTAAGAGACTTCCTCTGTTGAGTGATGTTTTTTCCAGGTTAACAAAGATGGCTTCTTAAATCCCTCTCTCAAACCATCTGTCTTCCTAGGCCAAAATGTGGACTTTTTGTCCTAAAAAAAACTGGCAACTCTGGTCAACCTTCCAATATCTCGGGGGTGGAAGTGGTACACCACCAATACTGTTGATAGTTGGGATGGTGTGCTGTTGACCTCAACTCAGGACTTTATGGGTTAGTGGGGAAGTTTGAAGACCTCGTCAATCTCACTAGGAAGTCTCTTACTGAGAAAGTGGAACCTGAGGACCTTAGGTCGGGCTCTCCAATCTCTAGTACTGAGGTCACCAAAGTTATTAAAAGGTCTCTGGGGCAGCGCTCCAGGAGTGGTTGAGATTCACTTGGAGGTCCTCCCCTTGAAAAAGCCGGACTTTAGATTTTTTCCGGGGAATACAGGGTACTTTTATGGACAGAATTACAAAGCGCGAACAAGGTGTCCTTAATATCTCTGCTTTTTACTGATGCTGTTGTCTTATTGGTTTCATCAAGGCATAATTGACATTCACTAGAGCAGTTTGCAGCCAAATGTGAAGTTGAATGGCCGGTATGAGGATCAGTGCCTTAATCCAAGGCCATGATCTCGAACCGTAAAAGGGTAGAGTACCTACTCTGGGTTGGGGGGAGTTACTGCACCAAGTGGATGAGGTCAAGTCTCTTGGGGTCTTGTTCATGAATGGGGGGAAAGAATGGAGAGGGAGATCAACGGGAGGATTAATGCTGCATCTGTGGTGTAACAGTCTGTCGGTGGTGAAAAGATCGCTGAGTCTGAAAGAGAAGCTTTCGATTTACCCGTCGATTTATGTTCCCACCCTCATCTGTGGACATGAGCTTTGGGTCACGATTGAAAGAATGAGATTGCAGATACTAGCGACCAAAGTGGGTTTCCTCTGCAGTGTGTCTGGGCTCTTTCTCAGAGATATGGTGATATACTCAGTAGTATGGGACGGGCTCAGTGTAGAAGCCAGTTGAAGTTGTTCGGGCATCTGATTGGGAGCCCCCCTGGATGCCTTCCTGGTGAGGTATTCCCACCTAGAGGAAGACCCTGTTACGTCCCGGCTCTGGAGCTGGCTCCACCCCCACCTGCACACCGGCTCAGCTACTCACCCGCAATCAGCACCGATAACTCTCACCTGTTCCCACCTCCATATAATCACCACCCTTACCTGAACTCGTTGCCAGAACGTATCGAACCTAGAGTGAGTACTTCCAGCATTACATTGTCCTGTCTGCCTGATCCTCGACCTGCCTTCCGTCTGCCTGCTTTCCCAGCCTGCCTGTTCCTCGCCTGTACCTTTGCCTGATCCTGAC